GTTTTGCCAGCATATCTGCAAATATGCAAACTAATTGCTGTTCTTAATCTTAATATAAGAAGGTTTCAACTGACTACTATAAGATCCCCGTGCGTAGAACGGGCACACAGCTAGTTATAACTAAGATTGGTTAATACTAAGGCTGTCAAAACAAAAGATATAGTTATATGCATGAAAAGAAAAACAGAACTAAAAACTTTCTTTACACATCATTTTTACATGGGAATTCGGAGAAAGAATATAATGTTAAATCAATAAGATATTTTTTTAGTTAATTTTTGAATTTATTAATATTTTTCTCAGATTTAATGGCTTTTGGTAACATATTATAAAATTTTGACCCCATATACATTGGCTTTTTTTTCATAAAATCGAAGTTTATGTTTGTCAATGCCAATTCTATTCCTGAATCTTCTATTATAATTATGAGTATCTCCAACAAAATGAAGTTGGTCCTGACGGTTTTTCACAGAAATTATAGTTTCATAAATGTACATTGCATATACAGTCATGTTACCAATTTTAGAAAAAAAGAGTTTTACCGATTCATTATAATTTAATTGTAATATAATCTGAATTGATTGTTCCTGAATTTTTAGTATTTTGTTCAAGTTTTGAATGGAAGTTGCCCCATATAATAAAAGACCAAAGGCGATATTTGAATGAATATAGGCGAAATACACTATTTTCAGAGTCTCTGTTGAACAAATTTTTGAGAGCCTCCTTAGTGCATATACCCCAGAGTTTAATTTAGAAACTAGATTATTGACATGGCTGTTCCAAGACAAGTTGCTGTCTATAGTTAATCCTAAAAATTTAGATTCATACACCTTCTCTAATTCAGTTTCATTTAGAATGATGGTAGGTGACAGCATATTTTTATTATTTTGATAAGTTTTGAATTCAATGAAATTTGTTTTAGCAGAGTTTAGTACTAAACTATTATTTTGGAAAAACTGATTTAAAAGAGCCAGGTTTGAAAATGATGACAACTCAAAATCCTCAATAGAGTGCCCATTTATTTGAAGATTAGCGTCATCAGCATAAAGACATAAGCTATAATTTTTATGTAATTTTGGCATGTCTTTTATGTAGCATGTGAATAACAAAGGTCCTAATATGGACCCTTGAGGAACACCTCTTATTACCTGTTTAAGAGTGGATTTGTATTTGAGTACTTAGTACAGTTCAATAAATTTGAGAAAATATTAAGTGCCGTGTTTGGTTAGCAGAAAATCCCTTCTACAGTATTAACACGTTCGCTACTGAGCGTCGCATATATGCGACACCACGGTCATTGCCACAGACCGAGGTATACATTTCAATATTACACATAGGCCTAGACCGGCTGTCACTTGGATAACAGTACACACAGACCACGGGCGAAAACCTGTAAAACAGTGATAATATACATTGTAATACGCTACAATCGTGTTTGTAAATAATTTATTCTTGTTTTTTGTATTTTTTACAACCTTTTGTAATGTCGCATATTTGCGACGCCCGGTCTACAGCGAAGACATTAGTGAAAATTATCATAGTTTTCTTGAAATAGACCAGACATCGCATATATGCGACAGTTCATTTTTTGTGTTTTGAGGTGAAAGTAAGTAAAAAAAAAAACAGATTATTCAAGAACAGTTCATAACTGAACAAATATAAAAGCTACATAGGATAATTCAGCATACATACTGCATACATACATACAGTGATGCAGAAAAGTAAAGACCAGTTTTTTCAACTATCATATGACGTCACCAATCATCATATCCACAGACCAAGCGACGCAGTTGTGCGTCAGACATCTCTGTAGACCACTGCAGGGAATTCAGTGCCTTCAATTAGACCTTTACAAAGATATAAGCATTTTAATAACATTAGAACCCCGACGCAAATATGCGACGGCAGTCTATTTTAATGTGACTAGCCATCGCATATGTGCGTCGCTGGTCCATGTGAATGAAAAATTTCGTACTATTGCAGTAGCGAACGTGTTAATGAGTTTTATGAAACTGATTGTAGCATGTTCTTCATGTTAGATTAGGCTAAACTGTTTTAAAAAGGTACTATGCTTGTTTTTTATTCATTGATTAATATTTGTTATCTAGTTTTTATCCTATCTGATAACATTTTTATTAGGTAGGTACACTTTTTTTAAAAATTTAAATGGATGGTGTTTTTGGCCTCTAAAAAAAGTTAATCCTTTCCTGATCCAGGTCTTCCATTTGACCTATGGTAAAAGCTTATTCCTATGTGAAATTCAGTTACTCAGTTCAGACACTCAGTTAAAGAAAGATTAAATATCATGTTTTCAAATGTATGTTTTGAGAGAAACACAATTAGTGTTTCCATAAGAGGGATCTTTACCCAAAAATGGGGTTTGAAGATCATGTGGTATGAATGGGACTTTTGACTCTGACCTCCAATTTCCTTTATTTTAGTGATTTATGATGAAAACTATATACTGTACGTTAACTTATTTAATTGAATAGTTGCAGTATAGAGCACTGTAGCAAGGTTTAAAGAGCTATTATAACATGATGGGTCAAAAAGATCATTAGGTATGGATAGATATTCTTACGAAATTCATGCGGGATGAACAGGAATTGTTCCTTTCATTTAAAGGAAGATAAAACTGGGATCTCAACCTGAAAAGCTGGATTCTTGTTTTGTTAGAGCGGTTACACTGACCAAAATATCCAGTTAATAGAGTGAAACATTTTAATTGAGTTAATAGTTAATAGAGTGTGTCATTTTCTATATAATTATATCCCTAGTTTTAAGTTGGGCTAGGTCATAAAATTTGTATCAAAATACGAACCTAGGTCAAAACTCTAAATTTTAGTAAGTTTAAAAATATTGTTAAATATTGCCTGGACCTAGTTTAAAAAGAATAATGATGTGAAAGATTTTAAAAATGATGAACTAATAGTTAAGGGTGGTAAAATAGTTTCAGGGTGAATAAAATAATAATTATAATTTTCAAAACTGTTCACTTACAAAATACTTTTAATACCTTAAGGGTGCATTTTCACTGGTGCGGCTGGAACTGCAGTCGTTGGATGATCATCGTTGGACAATTATCGCTCGGCAATAATCGTTGCAGTAGGCATTGTCACTGGTGCGATTATTATACAATTAACTAGCTGGCCCGACAGACGTCGTCCTGTCCTAATGTGGTTTTATGTCAAATGCTCGTTCATTTTCAAGATGAGCTCGTTCGCATGGCTCAATCACGTCCTGGTTGAAGTTCGTTCGCTACGCTCACTCACCTTTAGGTTGGAGCTCGTTCGCCACGCTCACTTGCCTTCAGTTACATTTGACAACAAATATTCGTAAAAAACAAATGGAATAGAAACCTATTTGATAGCTCTCATTTGTTATACATAGATTTGTTTTTACAAATTAGGTTATCATTACAACAGCTGTTTCCTTAATTTAATTTAATCAAGAAATGACAAACATGGCATGGTAAACAAAATAAAACATTCTTCCATAAGATGTAAACTGCAAAGGGCCATAGGACGCTTCCCTTAAGGGTTTTTGAAACGGAAACAGGCTATTATGTTATTCTAGTAACCTAAGGAATATCCCTGTAAATTTTCATGCCAATTGGTTCAGTAGTTTTGTAGTTATAAAAGCTGTAACTAACACAACTTTCTTTTATATATTAAGATTGAATCGTTCAGTTGCTTCTTGACCGTTGCCAAGTTGAAGTAGGGATGATGAATTATGAGTTTATAGGCTTTAACAAAATACTATTTAGTTATTTGTTAGTTTAAGATCTAAAAGATGGAGAAATTTTGGAAAATGATAAGTGTTCCAAGACTTAGCACACATAGTATAATTAATTACAAAACTAAACAGAAGATGGGTACTTCTAAATATTAATAAACAATCATTTGCAGAGAATATTATCTAAGTTCTTCAGACTTTCAAAATGTCAAAGTTTAAGTTTTTGTCTAGTTTGATCAATGAGGATTTTAAGAAGACTTCTCAAAACTACATTTCCTACCGACTTACGTTAGAGTAGGATAATTTATTTATAATCGTAAATTTTTTTTACTAAGCTAATAAACTAATAGAATGCTTCGGTATTATTTTTTTCTTTTTTCAGAATAAAACAGGTTCAGTATAAAAAAAGTAATACCCAAGTTGCAGCAAACCTGTGTACTCAGGGAGTTTTCAATTCATTTATGTGTGTCTTAATACTACCACATAACTCCACTTACCAAGTATCATAAAATGTGTTAACAATTAAGCGATATATAATATTTTAATTATTCTCCTTAAGAATAACATTGGGGCTGAGTACACTCGGGGCACTTTCCCGAGAAAAAGCTGTGAATGCTTCAAAAATCGTCCAACGACTGTAACTCTTGAATGCTCCAGAAGCAGACCCGTACGATAGACGTCTATGACTGCGGCTACAGTCGCGTCAGTGACAACGGTGCCATTGAAAACAATGCTAAACAGGCGCTCTACAATTATCGTTCAACGACTGTCGTCCAACGCACCAGTGAAAATGCACCTCAATACTTTACATTGAACCGGCAACCATACAAAGGTAGGTATTTTAAGCCAAGTATGAATGGAGATTAGTGTATGATGAGTGGCACGATCTTGTAGTCTTTTTAGTGACTAAGGTCGACATATTCCTTAGACACAGCTCTTAATTAATAGCCCTTACAGCCAATGGCAAATAAAGGACATACATTTTATAGTGGAATCTGAACTACATTTTTGCCTTGTAATTAACGAATTGGTCTAATTATCAGGATAGTACTGCAGATAGTCGTAATACTCACTAGTGCGGACGTTAATCCACACCAGGGAGTATCGCATCCACAGTGCATGCCTATAAATATCCATAATTTGTGACCTCCTATTAGCTGGATTCAGGACGACGCCACCATAATAATTATAGGCTAAAAATTATATGAATCTAATGTGAAAAAAAATCTTGAATCTATTAATGATGTTAAAATTTCAACTTTCAGAAATGTTAAAAACATCAAAAAACTTAGTGAACAAGAGTTAAAGTCTGGTAACACAGTTTCGTCCTGGCATAACCAATACAAAGACAGTGCTTGGATCTTCATTGGAGGATTGCCTTATGATCTGACAGAGGGAGATGTCTTATGTATATTTTCTGAGTAAGTACAAAGTTTCTTTAAATAGCTTTCTAAAAAAACTCTGAAAAATTCTGTTTATAGTTTGAAGAGACTTGTATTTAAACCCATAGTTTTCTTTTAATTTTAAATCTGTCTTGATCAACCTTTTAAATTGCGTGTTTTGTAACCAGAGATTTGTGTTGACATTATTTTTATCATAATTTTATCATAAATTTCAAAATTTCAAAGCCTATAGGCTACAATGTTTACAATTGTTGTACCTTTTTATTTAAAATAAGCTGCCTTCAACGATGAAAACATTGATTGCATATTGAAATTGAAGAAAACACTTAAGATACTTAAAATACTAGTAACTTACCCATTACAATCATAAATACTATTTTTAGCAGCTAGAATGAATAGCTCATTGATTATCCTTGCCGCTGTAATGGCCAATATGCAAACACTGGGAGCACTGGTCAAAATTGTGTGTTTTGTTACACAAAATGTGGGTTGTTTTGATATCTGCTTTGTGGAAATACCTAGTGAGCAAGAACAAAAAGTAATCAATTTGGGCTAGCAACAACCATGCTAGCTCAACAACCAAGCTAGCTCAGAATAAATGTAGGCTAGTTATAAAATAAATAGCTGTTTCATCGCTAATAGTTGGGGTGATATGCCCTTATCAATCTGATAAGGATGATCTGTGTGGAATGTATCAAGCAAAGCATCAGGAGAGCCGGTACATGGTGCAGGAATCAACTGAGTAGGCCATCTCATAAATTTGAAGTGCAACCTTGGTGAGGCCGTAACATCTACTTTGGTCTTACAGTCTGTGTCATGACTCACAAAAATGGATTTACGTACAGTAAGTTATTTAGGTTGTTAACTCATATTTTGGCAAGATTATCAATAAGTTGATCAGGTGACATGAATGAATCCTTTTGGAACATGAGAAAACATGCCAATATTGTAGAAATGAATGAGATGAGATTGTAGGTTATTATAAATCAGTGAATTGCCTTCATTAACCAGCTTGTAATGTAACAAATGTTAACGACCGTTTCAGCATCACTGTGCTATCATCAGGCATTGAAGTTTAGTTTGAGATTGTAATTTTTAATGTGGGTTTTTTAAATATCAAATCCTTCCAGATGGTCTAATTTATTGCCATTTGCACAGGTGTTTCATATTCTATCAGGCGTTGGGTAAATGTTAATTTTTATTTATTAGATTAAGTTGGCCATTATTAACATTTCCAAATTTTTTAAAATGTTTTTGACTAAAAGACATTTTATTGGAAACCTATTTTGCAAAAACGGGTCATGTTTTCTCTTTTAATGTTACAGATGTGGAGAAATAGTGAACATTAATTTGGTCCGAGATAAGGGGACTGGTAAACAGAAAGGATTTTGTTTTCTCTGCTATGAAGACCAAAGAAGTACAATTTTAGCAGTTGACAATTTGAATGGAATCAAGGTGAGATTATTACACAGACACATAATCTGATTTTTACACACACCTTCTGATTTTTACCAAGCTTTTATCTCCCTTTTTTTAGCGAATTTCCCTATAGGGAAGTAGCTATTACCGTAGGTGGCACGGTAATACCTAGACCCTGGACCGATTTACTTTTTCATTTTGATGTCCCCAGAGGCCAAAAACACTATTCGTTCAAATTTTTATATATGTATATATCTATCTATCTATATCTATAAAATCCAATGTATGTTTGTTTGTATGTTTGTCCTTTATGGACTCCAAAACCGCTCGACAGATTGTAATGAAGATTTCAGGCATTATTAACGTCCGTGAACGCGATAACTTGAGTAATTTTTGTCCGATTTTGATGAAATTTGGTTTAAAGGTGTAAAGCGGGATAAACTTGAATGAGTTCGCGAACCAGCACGATCGGACAATGGGAACGGGGCTTTACGGGGGGTTTTATGGGGTAAAAATTGGTTTTTCTCACTTTTGACCCTCAAAACACAAAATTTCCCAATTTCTCTTTAGACCTTTTTAAAGAGCTTAAAAAAACAAATAATTTAGTATATAAAAGTATTTTTGTTCAATTATTAGTAACAGAGAAAATTAAAAAAATTTTAAATTTAAAATTCCCATGTTAAATTCTTATGGAGAATATTGTCAAATGTTGTAGTTTGCTTGTTTATGAATATATTTTTATCAAACTTGGCAAATTTATTTATCTTGTACTAAGCTATCAATATTTTACTCAAAAACACACTTTATTAGTTTCCTTGTAGCAGCAAACCTAGGTACTCGTTAAACCTAATGTTATTAAAATATATTTAACTGAAAATCAATTCAGACAAATGGAAATTCGCTTAGTCGGCAGGTTTGCTGCGGCGGGAGTATTTGCTATTCCTCCTCATTTCCTTCTTCCTTTGTCGTCTGATATATCACTGCTTTCTTCTCCACATCCATTTCCAACTCATCTATTTGCCACATCTCCTTCCTCATCACCCCCAACAACATTTCTCATGATTTCTCTTTCCTCACATTTTTTCTCAAGCTTGCTTCTTCCATTCTCCTCCTTAACCATCAATAGGTGACTTTGACATTCAATTACGAAAGATGACTCAAAATTCTCTCCGGGTGTTAACCTTTTAAATTTTTGTCAAATTGTAAATAGTTAATCATTTTAATTGCCGTAAATTACAACTGTGTTTAAAATTATTAAAGGTGTATTTAGAATTGTATATTTAATATTAAAATCAGTGGTTCAAAATGGTGGTTATTACAAATTTCCAAAACTTGTTAATAAGCGATTTATACAATCAATGTGTCATTAGATTTGCATTCAAAAGTAGTTCAAACTTTGTGTTGTGTATAGTTTGGAATTGGCGGATTGTTTTTGCCGTCATTTTGAAATTTATAAAATGATAGACAATAAGTTTGGAAATCTTTTATAATAAATACTTAAAAGTTTTTTCAAGATTACTTCAAAGTTTTATGAAAATATCATCAAGGGGCTTCGAGTTCTTGGTTATTGTTTAAAAGTTACAAAATAGCGGGTTACGGCTAATGTAAACTTAAGGGGAGTCAAAGTTTAATTTTTTTAATTTTTTCTTTTCTTTTTTTACTTTTTATGTTCTTTTTATAGCACAGAATTTCTTCTTAAAAATGGTATACTTACATTTTTGATTACTAATCTAGAAATGTATACAAAAATATATTTTCCATAACATTGCAGTGGCGTTTTTAAAGGTAAAACTAGTAGACCCTTGGTTGACCCTTGGAGCCTTGGAGGCTTTTCTTGCGATTGCCGCAACTTTACTTTTTTAAACTTTAATGTCATTTTTTCAGGACTGTTAATATATACAGCTGTGAAATTTTTACCATGTAGTCTTAGTGACTTATTCTAAACACAGACATAAGGAATTCATCATATCTTTAGTAGAAGCATGTAAAAAAAATAATAAACTGGTGATAGTCGTTTGCTTTCGCTGACCCAGTGTAGCGGCCATTCGTAGATCTTGTGATTGTCTCATGGTTTTAATTTAGAATTTAGATTTTTTCTCTCTGGACTCGCTCTAGTTCGGCTTCGGTTGGATCTGCCGCTGGATGGTCCGGCCCGGTCTCAAGGGGACAAGTCATACTGTCACAGGTGAATGACCTTCGGCAGGATTCAACTTGAATGTTTAGTTTCCGGCCATACAAGTAAACAATTCATGTCAGTTAAGTTGACGGGTGCTTCTATGGGTGAATTGTTGCATATTACCTATGTAAAACTATGTTACATAACCTCAAAAATACCAAGAACATTTTATTAGTAGTTTTTCTTCAGACTAATATGTTGAAATGCATTGTATAATGAAATATTTCTGACCATTTTTTTTATGCAGTAGGTTCCCCCATTATTGTTTTTGAAACATCATAGTTTATTTGACAAAAATAAATTAAAGCATAACAAAGAAATGGCCATCGATAGCTTCAAGGTCAAGCTATCCGCTTGCACTGACAAATGACAATCATCGATGATAGTCAAAAATCATTGTGTTTTGCTCTTTACACAACTGTGTGCTGTGCTCTTGCTATCTCACACCAGTTTCTGATTGGGTGATTAGTAACCATGGCAACTTGTTGAATGTGTGGATGAAGAGAAACCAAAGAGAGAATAGAAGATCAAAGAAGAAAGAATAAGGGTGTTTTACATCATCCATTGTTATCTTTATCCTATTTTACAACTGTCGTTATTATCTTTAAGACTAAGTACTATGATTTTATGCTGTTTTATGAGTTATCTGATGTTTTTATCGACATTATTATGTTTTGAAACAACATGTATTAGTAGCCTATGCTGACTACGGTAGCAGTAGCTTGCAGTACTAGACTTTCTATTGTTCTGTTCTTTACGTGATTTATAGCTGTACACGTACAGTGTTCTGCAATTTTTGTTTTGCTTGAGTAAGCGTGATTTTAAACGTTACAGTTTTTATTACTGAACCAAGGTTAATGACTTAACATATCACGATTGCGCAATACTATTATTTGTATTTTGATTATGTAAAATGCACTACATCCGGTTAGTCCGGCCGTTTTGTAGTCCGGCCAGTGGTCCGATCCCGAGGTGGCCGAACTAGAGGGAGTCTACTTACCTGTCAAGGTTAAGCTGTCTTGTAACATTTCTCATGATCTATTCATTTCCGTCTGGTTTTACTAGACTTTTAGATTATTCAAAAAAGCCTTATCTACTTCATTTGTAACCAATTTATTGCAATTTTCCTTTACAGTAAATATGTTATTACATAGGATGCGCTTCTACAGCAAGTTTCCCTGAAACATTGTAAATGTTAAATGTTTTAAAACCCTACTAGTTGATGTACCCGTGCTTCGCAACGGGAAGATGTACTTTATCACCTAATCCAAACACTTGTTAAGTAGTTCAAATTTATAAATGAAAAGCCACTAAATGTACACAAAAAATTATAACCTACATTGTAGTCCAACTGCTTACATGAAAATATATCAATAACATTATTTTCACGGTTATAGAATCTCTTTTTCACAATCAATGACATAGTTTTAAAATAAATAAACCAACTACATAGTCGTGTAAAATATTGTAGGCCCTACTTAACTTGTTTGGATCAGCTGTATGAAATAGTGAAATGAGTATTTATTTGGCAGTGTTGTTTACATTGAAATGTCAACGTAAAGGTAAACATTGTGAATTATCTCATGCTTCCATGGAGACCAATTTAAGTTAGGTTTAATTTCTGACAACAGCTGGAGTTTCAAAACAATGTTTATTTCCCATGTTAATCTTATGGAGAAATACGAAACTTTAAAGGGCCCCAGGGCCTCACTCTCTAATTATTTCCCTAAAAAAAAAGTTTCCTGCACAACTTCACGTTACGCTCTTTCCAATGACACCAAAAACATGTCAAACGGTCCAGTAGTTTCGGAGGAGTAATTGTCACAAAATTCCTGCTTGCGTATTAAATAAGTACTAGTGGTCGTCCTGTGGTCGAAACTCGACCAAAAATACAGACTTCTCTATTTTCTCCCCACACTGTAAATAATACATGTGATTGGAATTTCTTCCATTTGTTTTGATTTTCTGTTTACATTTTGTTGTTATTTCGTCTCCATCATGGCAACCCATATGGTCCATGTTAATTTTTTGAAGTTTTCAAATTAATTTTTTGTTCTTATTTGTTAGCCTATTTTAATTTTTTAAGGTATTCTGCACATCTACAGGAAAATATCTTTCCAACAGTATGCGTAGATTTTCCCTGCGATGCACACGAGCTGAGAAAAAAGGTTTTAAAGAAACAGGCTTGCCTATTAATATATAGATAGATAGATTAATGCATTACATGTAATGAGACCAAAAGTTGTGACAGTTAAAATTTCAAATTTTTATGAAAATGTAAGCAATCTAGATCATTAACAGAAAATGTTCTAATTAAACACGTTAAGAATTGAGAAACCACCTACTAACTGGATGTTCCACTGATTTGTTATAACTGAACTTGTTGGTTTATAGTTCCTGTAACATTTCAGATAATCTCTACGTACATTTCTGTCTACAGTTTGAACCATCACTAGGGCTAAAACGTGTTTACTGTTTCCAAATTGTAATTTTTTATGGTAAAACTAACTGCTAATTTGAGTTCATTACAGGTTTGTGGCAGGACGATTAGAGTGGATCATGTGGCGGACTACAAACCTCCGAAGGAGTCAAGCAAAGCGGAAAAACAGCTAACTCAGCTGCAACTGGAAGGCTGTGCCCCAGTACCTGTCACTCAGCAGGTAAAAACCGGTGAGTTGTAACGTGTTAGCTGCATATCTAATATTATAAATGTGAGGTCCCAGTTAAATTTAAAGTTAACATTCTTACAGATAGCAATAGTGACAAAACATCAATGAACAAAATCAATTTGTAGTCTTTGTGGTACTGGTACTGTTCTATAAAAACCATCAATGAGTAAAAATGTGTTTAGTTCTAGGTAGTGAAGGGGATTGGGGCTTTCAGGCAATTATGACGGTGGTATGTCAGAACCTTAAAACTTAAGCCTTGGATATTGGATGAGTAAAACTTAGTCAATTAGGTATTTTATTTAGGAGTGATTTCATTACATATTTTAACACATTAGTAAAATACCTTTTCATTCTGGCTTGTAGAAAAAACTGATGCAGACATAAAAAAGGAAAAGAAGCGGAAGAAAAAGGAGAAAAAAGAGAAAAAGAAAAGGCGGAAAAAAGAAAAGAAGAACAAAAAAGTTGAGAAAGAGAAGGAAGATTCTGATACACAGTCTTCATCTGATGACAGTGAATCTGACTGATATATATTTTTACTGTAAAATGCTTATCTACAAAAAAGTTGTAAATTTAATCTTTTCTTATTTATCTTAGTGTTTTTTACCACCCCAAATTACACCGTTGTTCTTAGTTGAATTTTATTTTTTTAATCCATGTGTGTAGCCCCTGAGCTGTTGGAAATGTACCTGAAGCTGACGATGGTGTTTTAACACTGAAACATGTCCTAAATTGACATATTTTATTGAGCTGTGACGGAATGACGTAGGCCTAAGTAATTTAGTCTTGCTTATTTTTATTTTTTTCAAACTTATCAATACTAAGTTTAATTTCTTACCAAACAAGAATATACTAGACACACTCAAACAAGGGTAGGTACAAGTTATGCAAAATCCAGTAATTCATCTAAAAAAGAACCCATCAAAGCCATCCATCGTTTACATCAGATGAGCCTCTTAACAGAAGCCCTCTGCCACAGTCGGGTGATCTTGTCATTAATTGCTTTCGATCATATTCAATGATCTACCATTCTAACAACATTGGTAAACCTAACAACCCAGCCTAAGAAATAACATTGTCTCAAAGATTTTTATTTATATATTTTAACGTCAACCAGCCAATTTACCATTTGTACTACAAAATTCAAGATGATTTAAGGATAAGTAGGCCTATAAATAAACTAGCATTAATACATGGGCCCAAGATGACTAACAAGAAAACTAAAGGCACGTTAACATTAATTCGAGCTCGCATTCAAGTTAATGGAATGCGATAGCAAGCGAGTTACTATTCCAGTATCAAATGACTGGTTGAATTCCAGCAGCGTTTACATTGTTGTTTGTTACTGGAATAATAATAGCAGTTGCTAGTGATTTAGTAGTAAAGCGAAAGTTAAGTACAGTATTTATAATCAGCGATCACATTGGTTTTATGTGATCGCTCGATTGCTGTGTATAATATATTTATGTTTAGTGAATGAACTTATTAAAGAACTATGTATATTAACATATAATATCACAGATAAAAGTAAAAAATTAGTCTAATATAATATGTTTGTATAAGTATGTAAGTAGTATGGTGAAATTATTCAAGGTGTTTTATTGGTCTGTGAAAAAAAGGAAATTTAATTTTTTTTTATTAAATTTAACATACATCATCACTAATCTTAGCCCTCACTGAATAGTAAACACAAAAGCTATAAACAAACAGAAACATCCCTTTTTTTCACCACACCCACGTTTTCACAAACTGGGCTTCACAATGATATCGTGTGGGAGCATTTCCCAACATGTTGGAAAGTTCTGACAGTGGATTTCAAATTTCCTGCGAGATATCTAAAGCTGAGATCTGTCGAGGAATCTGTCAGGCGCCACCGTTATATTGTTTGAACCACGAGTAAGTTTGTGGTGACACTTATCCGAGGAGGAATGCAAGCTGTATTCGTATGCGAGCTCGAATTAATGTAAAACACGCCTATAGAATGAACATAGATTGCAGATTCCAACTCATTTTAAAATAAATATATGTAGCCTATAAACAGGCAAAATAAAAAAGTTACTTCGACTAGCATACGGTATACTAAAGACATGGATACATGTGAACAATTTCAAAATAATGACAATAAATAACAAAAGAATACATACAACAAGCAGAATATATACAGGGTGACAAAAAAGTCTGGAAACGGTTTAATATCTTTTTAACTAAATCCGTTAGAAAATTTAAACCTTTCACATCAGCTTACATGTATGAAAACTACTTTTTCCAAGCATTGTAATTTTTTTACCTCTACCAGGGGACGACCCATGAGGAGTAGGTGCATAATATTTAATGTAAGCATAGGTTGATATGCACACCATTTTAATGGGTTAGTCAAGTGGAGTTCATTGCTGGAAACCGCGTCCAAAAAGGTTCATCCGTTACAAAATGGCAGCTGCCCAAAGTTCTTGTTAAATATACCTGCACAGGCCTTAGTATGTGCAAATACTCGTATTAAACATTAGCTTGAGAGCTTAAACTGTATTTTAAAGTCAACTAGCTCATAGACTAATAGTATTCAATCATCAAAACAAATTTAACCGGGTTTCAGATTTCCCTGCTAATGTTGACTATGAGTATTTACCAATACTAAGGCCTCTGCAGGTATATTCCGCAAGAACTTTGAACTGCCACCATTTTGTAACGGATGAACCTTTTTTGACGCGGTTTCCGGTAATGAGGTCCACTTAACCAGACCTTTAAAATGATGTGCATATCAACCTATGCTTACATTAAAGATTATGTACCTACTCCTCGTGGGCCGTCCCCTGGTGAAGGTCAAATAATGGCAATGCTTGCAAAAAGTAGTTTTCATACATATAAGTTGATGTGAAAGGTTTGAATTTTCTAACGGATTTAGTTAAAAAGATATTAAACCGTTTCCAGACTTTTTTGTCACCCTGTATAAAAGACTGACACATTTATCACAGAAACAAAGGTACATTGCTTAAATTGTACAGGACATGGATTGGGGGATCCAAAATACTACCCCCTGGAAAACCACCCCCCCATCAGGTAAAACATGATGTCATGAAATCTGCCAAATAACCTATATGGGAGCCGTGTCCGCAACTGGAATACTACCCCCTAGTAAAATGTGAAGCTATGTATTAAAATTAATTTTATACTTAATAATTATCATTTTAATTTATATTCGAGTAATTCCGTTTGATGACAGAAAAGGCATGTGGGAAATACCAAACTTGGGGGAGGGGGGTACTCCGGTACTCAGGGTAGTTATCAGGGGGCAATAGGCGACCCAAAGATTGCAGGACATGTCAAGGACAGGTAGCGTTTTTTGTATAGAGCAGTGAGTCTGTGGCAGGATCGTGGTTCTAAACCTTATGAGGGGGGGGGGGTGTTTAAGGACTTCAGGTGGGGCATGAGCGCTCCTATAAAAATAATGAATTAAAAAAAAACTAGTGTCCCTGTTGCTCGAATTCGAGCAGTTGCTAAGTATTACAGGCGTTATTTTAAAATGAATAACAAAGATTATGGAAATATTCAAGATATACATAACAGATCGATATAATCAACATTTCTTGTAAATATCTGATCATTTTTTGAAAGCTGATCTTGTTTTAGTGTTTTCTACAAATAGCCTTACTCATACCCGCATTAAGATGTCCATATAACAACGATTATAAATAAAAAAATACCCCCGCCGAAGCAAACCTGCCGTCTAAGCGAATTTCCATTTGTCCGAATTGATTTTCAATTGATCTATTTAAATAACATTATTAGGTTTAACGAGTACCTAGGTTTGCTGCTACAAGGAAACTAATAAAGTAGTGTGTTTTTAGTAAAATATTGATAGCTTACTATAAAATAAATAAATTTGCCAACTTTGATCAAAATATATCCATAAACAAGCAAACTACAACATTTTACAATATTCTCCATAAGAATAACATGGGAATTTTAAATTTACCATTTTTTTAGTTTTCTCCGTAACCAATAACCGTACAAAAACACTTTGATATACTGAATTGTTTGTTTTTTTAAGCTCTTTAAGAAGGTTTAGAGAAAAATTGGGAAATTTCGTGTTTTGAGGGTAAGAAGTGAGAAAACCCAATTTTTACCCCATAAAACCCTGTTCCCATGGTCCGATCATGCTGGATCGCGAACTCATTCAAGTTTATCCCGCCTTACACCTTCAAACCAAATTTCATCAAAATCGGATAAAAACTACTCAAGTTATCGTGTTCACGGACACATATATATATATATAAATCTATATATATATATATATATACATATATAAAAATTTGAACGAATGGTGTTTTTGGCCTCTGGGGACATTAAAATGAAAAAGTAAATCGGTCCCGGGCCTAAGTCTTACCATGAGACCTACGGTAATAGCTACTTCCCTATAGGGAAATTCGCTAAAAACACATTATTTCTATTTCTTCTCCTTGGTGGTGTTCTATGACTTTCCTATGTTTCCATAGTTTGCAAATCATTCGGCTCTTTCAATGATTACTAAGAAATGCAGCACAGTGTTAATTCAGTTTTCTTTTTGGTATATCAATTCATCCAGGCTCTCTCGCTTTTAGCGAATTTCCCATATAGGGAATAAGCTATTACCGTAGTACTCATGGTAAGACCTGGACCCGAGACCGATTTAATTTTTCATTTTGAGGTCCCTAGAGGCCAAAAACACCATCCGTTCAAATTCATATATATATTTATATATATATATATATGTGTCCGTTAGCGCGATAACTCGAGCAAAAATGATCCGATTTTGATGAAATTTGGTACAAACGTGTAAACCTACGTTTATTCGAACGAGTTCGCGATCCAGCATAATCGGACCATGGGAACGGGGGTTTATGGGGGGTTTTATGGGGTAAAAATGGGTTTTCCCCATTTTTGAACCTAAAAACAAAAAATTTTGCGATTTCTTTCTAGACCGTTTTGTAGAGCTTAAAAAAAGAAATAATTTAGTATATTGAAGCGCTGTTGTATGCCTAACGGTCACGGAGAAAATTCAAAAATAGTGTAATTAAAAATTCCCATGTTATTCTTATGGAGAAAATGAAAATTGTTGTAGTTTACTTGTTTATGGGTATATATTGATAAAATTTGGCAAATTTATTTATTTCATCCTATACTATTGACGTATGGTCAAAAAACACTTTTTACCTTCCCCGTAGCAGCAAACCTAAGCACTCGTTAAATCTAATGTTATTTAAATAGGGAATAATATGTCTTATTTATGGAAATATTTTAGTAAAAATGTAATCAGACTAGTTGAAATTCGCTTAGTCTGCAGGTTTGCTGCGGCGGGGGTATTTTCCATTGTAATATTTACGCCAACCAAAATTCAAATAGTAAATATTTCATTTCAACCAAGTCAGTAAATGTTTGTAGCAAACAGTTAAATTAGCAAACTTATTGACTGTTTACAATTAACATGTTCTTCTTTTCACTTTGAATTTCTGACAACACCTGGAGTTTCATAACAATGTTTGTTTCCCATGTTAATCTTATAGAGAAATACGAACATTTAAAGGGCCCCAGGGCCTCACTCTCTAATTATTTCCCTA